AGCAGGCGCGTCCCCCCTCCCTCCCTCCGGTGGCTGCTGCCTTCCCCCCTCTCCTGCTCCTATCCCCTCTCACCCCACGCCTGCCCCGGACTCTGCAAGCATGAGGGTCTTGGCCTGCCTCCTCGGTGAGTGACCCCTTCTCCTTGGGGACTCAGGGGCCTGGGCCCCACCCTCTGACCGGAGCTCATGCACTTGAGGAACTCAGACTTCCGGGGTGATTCCTGGTGCTTGGGGATAGAGGACATGTCCCTTCCCTGCCTGACCCCCCAGGGACCCAGCCTTCCGCACCATCTGAAGTGCCCTGGGGACCTGCCCCCCCACCAGCCCTGACCCTTGTGGGGTTTACCCACCATTTGACCTTTAGCCAGGCTCTGGGGAGCACAAAGGCTTGCCCACAGCCCTGACCTGGGCATCTGGGCCCCTCCCGTGGCCCAGAGTGCTGTGCGGGAGGTGTTGGTTCCGAGGTGTGAGGATTTGTGCATGTGTATATAAGCGTGTGTGTGTGTTGAGGGTTTGTGTCTGTGTATGAAGGGTGTGTGTGTGTGTGTGTGTGTCGGGGTTTTCAAGACTAGGGGCCTGTGCTGGAGAGAGGACCCCTGGGCCTGCCCCTCACTGTGTCCCACCCTCCAACCTCCCTTCCAGTGGCTCTGATGGGGATCCAGGCTGTTGGTAAGTGGCCCTGAACACTCCTCTGTCTGGCCTTGCCCAGCTCTAAGCCCACTCCATTCCTGGCCTCGCCCTCCCCGGGGACCCTGGTCACCCCCCATATGCCTGTGACCTCAGGCATCTTGCTCCTCAGAACTACCTGGGGGACTGGCCACCAGCATACAGCAGGAACCAGGGTCTCTCACCACTGCTCTCCTAGGCACCCAGGATTGGGGCCCCCACCAGCGGCCAGGGTGCTGGTCTCCCAGTGCCACCCTGTAGGACAGCCCCTGGCCCCAGGGCCTCCGGGATGTCACAGCCTTTCCTCCGTCCCCCCAGAGCGGCTGCGTCTGGCCGATGGCCCCCATGGGTGTGCGGGCCGGCTGGAGGTGTGGCACGGCGGGCGCTGGGGGACAGTGTGTGATGACGGCTGGGACCTGCGAGACGCCGCGGTGGCCTGCCGGGAGCTGGGCTGTGGGGGGGCGCTGGCCGCCCCCGGAGGCGCCTTCTTCGGGGAGGGCTCAGGGCCCGTGTGGCTGAGTGAGCTGGCCTGCAGGGGCGGCGAGGGGCAGCTGGGCCTGTGTCCCCACCGTGGGTGGAAGGCCCACGTCTGCTCCCACGAGGAAGACGCAGGTGTCGTCTGTGCAGGTGAGGGCCCCAAGTCCTCTNCACGAGGAAGATGCAGGTGTCGTCTGTGCAGGTGAGGACCCCAAGTCCTCAGCCCGGTCACTCTGAGGGTCCAGGGGTCTCCCTCCAACTTACCACTGCCCAGGGGTCCTGCCCTGCCTCGAGGGGCCCACCCTCTACAGTTCCCCTGCTCTCTGCAGGTCAGCGTGTGGCCAACTCGAGGGACACAGACGGTTCACCTTCATTTCTGGATGGGGACTCCTGGCCGGGGCTGGCTGGGGAGCTGAGCCCCAGTTCTGAGGAGCCCCCTGTCACGCATGGTGAGCCCACCCACCTGCTCCCTCTTCTACTCAGCCAGGGGACAGGGGCCTTCCTCTCAGATGGCCCAGGGGATAGACAGATGCCCGGCTACTTCCCAACCCCAAAGGCCCCCATCTCAGCTCCCCAGACAGGAGGAGAGATGAGGGGCTCCTGACCCCCCTCCCTGCTGTCTCCACTCCCAGCCCCTCGGCCAGCCGGGACCCCCCAGAGCAGCTCCCGGAAAAAGAGTCCCCGGCCGCCCAAGCAGGTCAAGTCCACCAGGGCCCCTTCACTAATGGCTGGAGCCCCCCGCCAGGGTAAGTCCCCTCCGAGGATCTGGATGGGGGGACCCTCGTCTAGTCTGGACCACCCCGTGCCCCAGGTGTCCTCCTGTTACCCTATGGCCCTCCCACCCTGGCCTGTGTGGCTCAGTTGGTTGGGTATCATCTGGTGAACCCAGAGGTTGCCAGTTGGATTCCTGGTCAGGACACATGCCCGGGATGCGGGCTGGATCCCCAGCAGGGCGCGTGCAGGAGGCAGCCGATCAATGACTCTCTCATCATTGATGTTTCTCTCTCTCTCCCTCTTCCTTCCTCTCTCTGAAATCAATAAAGACATATTTTTAAAAAATTAAAAACAAAAACTTAGGGCCCTTGGGAATGAGTCATTCCCCGTCCCCTACCCTGCCCGGTCAGGGACCCAGGAGTCTGCTCCCCGCACCCAGGCCCCTGCCCCACTCAGATCCTCGCCCTTCCCTTGGTGGCCCGGCCGCCCAGCGGGTCTCGGGCCAGCGCCNNNNGCGCCCTCTTGGGGGGGGGGTTTGAATCCCCAGCTGCCTCACGCAGGCCCGTCTTCTCCCCAGAGCGGCTGCGCCTGGCCTCGGGCCCCCACGGGTGCGCCGGCCGGCTGGAGGTGTGGCACGGCGGGCGCTGGGGGACCGTGTGCGACGAC